TCGGGCCCCGGGAAGGGCCGGTACTGGGGCGGCGGCGGAGGCAGCGGCGGAGGCGGCACCGGGTAGAAGCCGCCGCCACCACTGCCACCACCGCCGCCGCGACGGGGGGCTTCGGCGGGCGGCCGGGGTTGCAGAGCCAGCGCCGGCTGGAGGAAGGGAGCGGAGGGCCCCGGAAAAGGGCCGGGCCGCTGGGGAAGGGGCGGCGGAAAAGCCGGGGAAGGCAGCGGCGGCGGCGGCGGGCAGCCGAAAGGAGCAGGAGGCGGCGGCTGCGGGGGCAGCAGGCCGGGGCGAGCCGGGCCGAAGAAGGGCGGCAGGGCCATGTCGCCGAGGGACACGCTCTGCGAAGTGACAGGAATCTACAGCGGGTCCCCGGGAGCGGCTTTCCGGGAGGAAGTGACGTCTTTCTCCACGCGACACCTTTGCGACACGCCCTACCGGAAGCGCCGCTCCGCGGAAGCCGGCAGTTCAAGCTTTACCTCTTCAATTTTTTCTTAATTTATGTATTTAGTACAGGGTCAGCGTGCACAGATCGGACTTGCCGTGATCCTCCCGTTTTCAGCCTGGGATTACAGGCGCGCGCCACCACGCCCAGTCTTGCCCCTTCAACTTAAAATAGACGAACTCATTTTCACTTTCTGACCTTTGAGCCACTAATGTTAGAATTGATTTCTGAGACCAGTCAGCATGTTTAGTGAATATTGAACTTCTTTGATGTAGCTTTCTGATTTACATCCAGACCTTGCACGCCTAACCAGCGTGTTTCTGTGTGGCGGACTTGTGCCTCTTGACAGAAGGCTGCGTAAACTTGGTGCCGGGCCATTTGCTTCCGAGGTCACACTGTGTGAGCCAGTTACCTTTGTTGGGTTTTGCACACCTGAACCCTTCACTGCTGCAGTTCAATACGGTTAATTCTTGTGCGCATTCATCTTTCACCAAATACAAAGAAGCAGGTATATGTTTATTTTTGAATAGCTTTTTAAAAGTGTTGTTAGGGGTCTGCTCTGATGCCAAGTTATTTTTCAGCCCCCTTGATGAGTTCTTTCAGAGAACTCATCACAAGCACCTGTTATCATATTCTCCACGATTACTGGTTAATGTGTGCTGAGGAAAAACCAGAGCAGATGTGAGCTTGCTTTATGTTGCAACGATTTTTTACAGTATCAATATATTATTTTTACACAACTAAATTAAGAAACAATTTTTAAAGAAACCAGCCTTTAATGTCTTATATTGTACTTCAATGTATTTTCTGAAACTGAGGTGCGAAGACCCTTCTCAGAGGTGGAGCTGGAGTGCTTGGCTGGCACACCCCACTCCCAGCCTGGTGTGGGGTGGTGGTCCTGCCACAATCATTGCCCTTAGCACCATGAAGCCGATGCCTGGCAAGTTTTTCCGATTTGAACATCCCCTTATTGTTCTTTTTTTTTTTTTCTTCCAGTTTTTTGGTTTTTTTTTTTTTTTAAGTAATTTGCTGTTGAAAAGAGCAGTGGTCTTACTTTTTTGTGTGCAAACTTTATCTATTTTCAGCCCATCACTCCCTTCATTCTGCCTAAGACAGATTTCTCCACGTGTCCTGTAGAGTGAACGGTAATTCTGATCCAGGCCAGAGGCTGGTGGCCTGGTGGCCAGGGGCCCACAGTTTTGTCTTCCCTGCACTGTGGCCTTGGCCTCACCTTCATGCCCTTTTCTCTTTCATCTGCTCATGGATGCCCTGGAGTCATCTTTTCAACATTCCCCCTAACTTTACAAAAACAGGCCACAGAAAGGAATGGGTGAGGAAGACAGCAGTTGTGCTGGCTTAGTATTTTCATTTTATTGCAGTAGAAGTTGCACTGAAGAAAACGGGTGATTTGTGATGAGACACAGTGATGTGGGGAAATTTCATTTTGTTTTGGCCAAAAAGCAGCATAGTGAGATGATTGTGAAGAGCCAAAGGCTGTATGGTTATGCTCATTGTGTGAAGTTTCTGCAGACAAGAGTGTTCCTTGACTTTAGAGTACTCTCATCCAAATAGTTAAAAGTTAGTCTCACCCAATAAGTTAGTTATTTGACATGTATTAACTGCTTTTATTATTTATGGTACCGGGGAATGAACTCAGGACCCTGCACTTGCCAGCAAACGCTTGTTCTACTAAGCTATCTCCCCGGGCCTTAACTACTCTTAAAAGCTGGGGGGAAAAAAAAAAGAAGAAGAAAAAATTCTCAAGATGTCAATCTGAGTAGGTACTGCTCTTGGCTCCAAGGCTGCCTGGGCACACTTCTAAATCCCCTTTTGTTTTACTGCCTAAACATACTAAACATACTTTTACTAGCTGTTTTATACTAGGAGATAATCTTTATAGAAACATATTTTCAAAACACTTTACACACTAATTTTGTATCCATTTAAACTAAGCTTTGTATTGAATAAAGCACTATTGCTCAGATATTAAAAATAAGTAAGATATTGAGGGCAGGTGGGGTGGCACATGCCTGTAACGCCAGCACTTGCGAGGCTGAGGCCAGAAGATCTCTGCAAGTCAAGGCCACCCTGGGCTACAAAAGTGAGTTCAAGGCCAGCCTGAACTGCATAGTGAGACCCTCTCTCAAAAAGACCACAAAAAAAAAAAAAAAAAAAAGGATACAGAGAGACAAGGACAGTCTGCACATGTGGAACTACCCGTCTAGTAGAGAAAACACGCTATCAGGTACTCTCACAGACAAATGTGGACATGGAATGATGAGTCTTTCAAGGGCCAGCAAGACAGCTCAGCAGACTAAGCACTCACTTAGGCAAATGCAAGGACCAGGGTTTGACCCCTGCACCATGTGCCATGCCGGTGTACTCAGCTATCCACGGAGACCAGGCGTGGTGGCGCATGCCTTGTAATGCCAGTGCTGGGGAGGCTGAGACAGAAGGATCACTACAGGGAGCCCAAGCTGCGTAGTGAGACCCTGTGCCAGATACATAAGAAAATTCTAGATGATGAGTAACTTAGGTTTTGAGGAAAATTGTCCTAACCATTTGAGGTTTCAATCAGATCTGACCAGTAAGTAGGAGTTCAATGGGGAGGGAAGCACAGTTCTGATGGAAAAAGAATATGCTAGCAGACAGGGATATATGTAGGACTGAAAACGCCAGTGTATGCAAAGCACCAAAAATCTAAACCTGGCTTGGTTTTGGTCTTTTTTTTAAGGTATTTGGTACAGAGTCTCCAGGGTCTCACTACACAGCTCAGACCCCCCTCCCCCATGAAGTGATCCTCCTGCCTCAGCCTCTCAAGTGCTGGGATTGCAGATGTGCCCCACCACCACGCCTGGACTCAGTGGCCTGCTCAGAGCACCCAGGGGTGGGGCTGGCCTGCCAGGTGGTGCAAGGATGGAACCCTGGTCCCTGTGCTTACCTAAGCAGGTGCTTGGTCCACTGAGCTATCTCGACAGTCCCTTGATTCTATTTTTTACGAGTAAACAATTTGGGAGACAACTGCAGATCGAGGCCTGGTGTGTTGTTGGTGAAAGACCCCGAGCCTGTAATCTTAGCACTCCAGAGGCTGAGGCAGGATCACAGAGTTGGAGGACAGCCTGGATTACACAGGCGAGATCCTATTAAAAAAAAAAAAAAGATTAGTAGTACAAAAGATCATGTATCCTCATTACTGTCTCCCTTAATGGCAATATCCTACAAACTGCAGTATGTCTCAACCAAAATGCTACCACTGGTACAGCCAAAATACAGAACATTCCATCACTACCACAATTCCTATTTATAACCATCAACCATACCCCTTTTATTTTTTTGGTACCTGGAGTCAAACTCACTGCCTCATTCTTCTGTGTGTTTGTTAAGAGTAGTGTTTGTCACTGATTCCTAAGAGTAGGAATCAGTTAAATCCTGGTTCCGTCACTTACTAGTTCTGTGAGCTTGGGAAAGCCACTTACCCACTCTGGGCTTCCGTTTCATCACCTAAAGAGGTAGCCTGCCTCATTTTAACATTAAAAATATGGTACTTTTAATGGAATACTAAATTTATAACTTAACTTAGGGATAAGACATCTTTACAATGTTGTTACTTGACTGTGCTGCTGTGTGCTCTGTCCCTGGCTCTCAATCAGACTTCTTTAACCCTTTTCTCCTTCATTCTTAGCAACCATTGATTCAGTCTAGTCTTCTATAAATTCCCTTCAAGAATGGCATATAGGGGCTGGTGAGATGGCTCAGTGGTCTAAAGCATCTACTTAGAACAAGCGTAAGCTAAGCAAAGCACAGGGACCGCGGTGGTTCGATCCCCAGCACCACATGCCAGCCAGCCCCGCCCCCTGGTGGGCTGAGCTGGCCACACACACACTAACTAACTAAATAAATAAATACAAATTAAAAAAAAAAAGAATGGCATATAAATGGAATCATATGGTATATAACTTAGTGGGATTTGCTTTTTTGACTCAGCATAATTCTCTGGGAAGTCATCCAAACTGTCCAAGAATTCTGTTCTTTTCAATGCTGAGTGGTATTGTTCCACCATGTGGCTATTCCAGATTTTGCTTAACCATTTGCCTGTTGCAGGACTTGAGGGTCACTTACATCTTGGTGCTACTATGAACAAAGTCACTATGAACATTTTTGTATGGGTGTGTGTGTATGTACACCAACCTTCATTTCTCTGCAAGAAACACTGAGGAGCACAATTACTGGGTCATATGTTAGTTGCATGCTTAGTTTTTAAAGCAGCTGCCAAATTGATTTCTAGTGTGAGTAAACTTTTTTACATCCATACCAATAAATGTTTTTTTCTTTTCCTTTTTTTTTTTACAATTTATTTGTGTATGTGTGTGTGTGTGGCCAGCTCAGCCCACCAGGGGGTGGGGCTGGCTGGCATGTGGTGCTGGGGGATTGAACTGCGGTCCCTGTGCTTTGCTAAGCTTGTTCTAAGTAGGTGCTTTAGACCACTGAGCCATCTCACCAGCCCTTCTTCCTTTTCTTAAGCATGTCATGTTTTTACTTATTTCAGACATCCTAAGTGTTATAGTCATTTTCACACTTTCTTAACGGCTGATTATGCTGAACATCTATCTCATCCTTATGTGCCATCACTACAACCATTCCACTGAGGTGCACGCACATGTGTGGTACTGGGATCGAACCCAGGAGCAACTAGCTGTTTAGGAAGGATCTCCTTAAAAACTTAGGTAAGTGGGGCCGGAGAGATGGCTCAGTGGAATAAGCGCTTCCCTGGCAAGTGCAAGGGCCTGAGTTCAATCCCTGGTTCTGCAAAAAAAAAAAAAAAGAAAAACCTTATGAAAGTTTTATATTTAAATCTGTGATCTATTTTGAGCTAGTTTTTGTATAAAGTGGAGTCTTTTGGGTGGATCAAGTTCTCTTTTTCTATGGAGGTCTAGTTGCTCCATTATTATGGAATTTTACTTTTATTTATTTTTTTGCAGTGCAGGAATGAAACCCAGAGCCTCACACATGCTAGGTAAACACCCTACATTCTCAACTACATTCTGAGATGTATTTGCTTTTCATTAGCTCCCTTTTTGTTTATTTCCTGGTACTAAGGATTGAACTCAGGACCACGTGTTTGCCAGGCAGGTGCCTGTGCCACTGAGCTAGCTCCTCAGCCCAAAAGTTCACAAGGATCCCCCCACCCCAGGATGCCTTAAGGGCAGGTCTGGTGAGGCATGAGAATCTGGGGATCAAACCACAGAATTCTGAGCCTGACTGCTTTGCTTAAGCAGGCACTTAAACAACTGAGCTCATAGGCAGGCCCCCCTTACTTGCTTTTCAAAGAACTGTTATTCTGAGAAAGGAACAAATAATGGACATGTCCAATTTTATATTTCTTTCTTTTTTGAAACAGGATGTTGCTGAATAGTTCAGGCTGGTCTTGAACTCACCATGTAGCCCAGGCTGGCCCCAAACTCTCCTGCCTCAGCCTCTGGAGTGTAGGATTACAAGCGTATGCAACTGCATTTGGCCCAACTTATATTTTCATCAAGCTTTTATTAACCACTATCTATGCTAAGAGCTGAGGGCAGTAAGGTAAGTTAAAAGGGCTCTTTATCTTGATAGTGACCTCTTGGGTCATACCACAGAAATATTCAGAAAGCCTGAGCCTTCTCTCTAAGGGACTTTGCAGACTTCCCAGAAACTTGATAGTAGGTAATACTGAAGCTTGTTTTAGCTTAAAATTAATTACACAGCTTTGCATTCCCGAGGGGACAACTGGGTTATGATTACCAATTATTGAAATTTCTCCCTTTCCTAATTTCTTTTTTTTTTTTTTTTTTTTTTTTTTTTTTTTTTTTGCAGAACTGGGGACTGAATTCAGGTCCTTGCGCTTGCCAGGGAAGCGCTTATTCCACTGAGCCATCTCCCCGGCCCCTCCCTTTCCCATTTTGAAATGTCATGTTTTTCATGTATTAAATTCCCTGCTATATGGGCTGGTGAGATGGCTCAGTGGTCTAAAGCACCTACTTAAAACAAGCTAAGCTAAGCAAAATCACAGGGACCTCGGTTCAATCCCCAGCACCACATGCCAGCCAGCCCCGCCCCCTGGTGGGCTGAACTGGCCACACACACACACTAAATAAAGTTATATTTAAAAAAAAAAAATCCCCGCTATATTCTGGATCAATTTATGGGCTTTTACATTCTTTTCCTTGAGCTGGCTGCTCATCCACACACTGGTACACACTCAAGTTTTCAAAGTGTTATGTGTTTAAAGTCATCAGGGCAGTCCCTCTTTGTTCTTCTCTCGCTATGTTTGCTAAGAGTAGGAGTCAGTTAAATCTTGGTTCTGTCACTTACTAGTTCTATGAGCTTGGGAAAACCACTTACCCACTCTGGGCTTCAGTTTCATCACCTGAAGAGTTAGCCAACGGCGGGCCAGATAGCTCAGCGGACTAGAGCCCCTGGGACGCAGGGGATAGGGGTTCAGTCCCCAGCCTGCTGTGCTGCCCCGCCCCCAGGGTGCGCGGACAC